CTGGTGTAAGAATGATATGAAAGTGACATTACATGCTAGTAAGTTGTACTGTTTCATTCTTACCACACATACACACTCATAAAAGACATGAATTTTGTTCCAAGTGGAAGTGGAATGTCAACTATAATAAGTTTATGCAAAGATTATTTGATTGTGATGCCTTCATATAGATGGTTGTAAACTTCAAACAATTTCGTAAACGAAAATGCTACAAATGAGGAGATTGAAGTGCCTAAAATTGTGATTACGCATGCTTTAGACTTCATCAAGAAGTTGCCTCGAGCAAGTAAAATGTCCAAGTTAATTTCATTATAATCATTTTAGTAAAAGCAGTAACATCATCTATTCATTATTAATGGTGTTTTTGTCAGAGGCTTACAATGGTAGACGAAAATGGGAGTCGATTATTGGTTGGGAAGAAAAAAAAAGAATAGCAACAAGGGCTTTCTGACAGCTTCTTCCCTTCCAATTAGAAACCTCCTATTTTATACATGTAGTTTAATTTTTAAAATTTTTTTCATTATTGTTTTAATCAAACTATGTGAAAAGTATTATTTACTCAATCCAAAGTAAGGTTGTTAGTTTATAGCAATTAATTGATACTCAAGTTTTCTGTAATATTAAATAAATATATTTGAACATAAATATCTAGTCAAACTATTACACGTGGAATGTTTTTCCTTTTTATCTATTCATCTTCACCAAACATTATATGGTTACTGATTAAGAAATACATATACTGCTTATACCATATGCAACAAAACCACTGCCTTGAAGATGTATCAATCATCTAATAAAAATGTTGCCCTTTTGTAAATTAATTTAACATACAATTTATAATAACTAAACTAATCTCACAACCATATCGAATCCCTCAAACAATCTTGAGGTTTTGGTTTGATCTGCATGGGTTTACCAAGCTTAGATTTATCTTCTATTTTTTCAATATGGCGAGCCTTGTTAGAAAACGAAACAGGAAACCCTTTAGCATCATCCCATAATTCCAAAATTACCCCTGACCCCACACAAAGCTCTTGTTGATAAAAAGCTGCAAATGGGCCAGCTGCGACCCTGATCACCTTCAGGTAATTGGACGGTGCCAATAACATCTTTTTCTTCTATATGCAAACTGCAATCATAGAAAACCGGACCATGCCGAACCTGTCGAAAACACGTGTAAATGCATATTAAGTCTGTTATTAAGTGAAAAATTGAAGTCATGTAATGTTTACATTTACCTTGCATCTTAAGTGGTTTAAGTTGTGAGGAGGATATCCCTTGATCCATCTAAAGGATCCAACACGAAATGATCGCCTTCTTTTATCAACAGAGTAATAATTTCTTGATACAAAAACCATATTATTTTTTTACATCTTTCTCAACAACATACCTGCATGGAAACATGACATGTATTTTTTTATAAATAAATAAATCTTTAAATATTTTTACATAATAATAATAATAATAATAATAAAAGGTTTACAATGGTCCTCCTGCAAGACCCAAACCTTGGCGTTGACCAATTGTGTAAAACCAGAAGCCCTGTGGACGCCTAAAAAATCACCTGTTTCAGCATCTAATAATAAAAACTTTCTTTTTCACCAATATGTCTTCCAACAAATTTGCTGAACCAAATCAGTATAATAATTACATAAATTTCCACTTTATATATATATATATATAGATATATATATAATATATATATATATATATATATAATATATATATTATATATATATATATATATATATATCATCTCCAAAGTTGAGATTTTTGTTAACAAACATAACATAAACATACCTTCTCAAGAAAGCATATTCCCTGTGAATCCCTTCTTTCTTGGTTAGGCAAATCAAATTTTCAGGCAACCTTCGGACTTCTTCCTGATAATTTGATTGGTTTAAATAGTAAATTCATGAATTATGTTTTGTGTTTCATAAAGCAAACTTACTTACTTTTTGAATACATCTAAGAGGAAGCACTAGTCTTTTAAGCTGAGCTTGTGAGAGATATGATAGAAAGTAGGTCTGATCCTTCACTAGAAATTCTAACATGTATCCCTCACTGACAGGCATCAGGAAGTTGGTAATGAAAATAAGTAGAGCATATCTTTACCATATTCTTTGACAGCTGAAGAAATGAAAGCTCATTGGTTCATCTGTAAGGGGGTGAATAACTTTTGCATAATGTCCAGAAGCAACAAACTCAAAATCCATGTTACTGATGGCATCCATGAACGCACCTACAGATATAAAATAAAAATGAAATAAATGACAAATGAGAACAATAAAAGATGAAAGCAAGCAATATGATTACGCACCAAATTTGAATCTTGTATTGCAAAGAACGTCAGGGTTAGGTGTACACTCACATTTATACTCATAAATAAGGTAAGATACCCGCAACATTGTTACGTGTAAGCAATAAGTTACATTGATGTCACACCCCCGAACCGTCAGAAAAACAACGGCGGAAACGTCCGGGGGCGGCGACGTCATTCGTAGTATCACAACAATCGTATCATAGCAATCAAAGTAAACACAACCATTACATTACAATATGAATATTTACAACTGTTTGAGAACATAGTTTGTACATAACATTATATAACAAAAGATAAAGACGAGACTCCAAAAATGCTCCGTCTTCTCCAAAAGCTGGTATGGTACCTGTCTATCGTTGCCCTGAGAATACAAGCGGTTTTGAAAACGTATCAGCATAAAGCTGGTGAGTTCATAAGCATATTTTTGTATTGAAAACTAGTCACTAAGTTTGTATAAATAGTTTCTTTCCATTATAAGTAAATATCGTTTGTATCGAAAACCGTTGTTACCGAGTTCTGGAATATGTTTACATGCTTACCAAGAAAATCCAATATTTTCTAACATGTTTGTTGGTTTCTGTATGAAAAGTACGTTCTGTTCGAAAACCCTGGCTACCACCAGTATGTAATGTATGATCGTTCGGAAACCCTGGTTACCACCAGTATGTATAGTAGTTTTATTACTTAAAATAAAACTATTGAAGAAGGAAATCCCGTAAACAATGATTAGTTTATACTTATTGTGAGTCGTATAACCATACTAATATGACTGATGACCTCCTTGACGTTTCTTCAGGCGTCGCACGTTTACAAAAATTTGTCACCCCAGGCGTGCCCGCCTAACTGTAGCTAACAGTTCAGGTGTGGGATTGTCAGTACCGAATAGATCTATTCACAAATTTCACGCTCTCCCTCCAGGACACTCTGGTTATACTTAAGGCGAGGATTAATTGGTACCCCGAGGGGCAAAACGAAGATAGTCTCACAATCTTGTATTAACTAGTTTACGTGTTTGTTCGGTTGTTCTCGAGTTTGAAATCGTTTGTAACGGTGTAGAGTATAAATAATTATACATAAAATAATTATTTAGCATGATACTCTAGTTTTGTATTCGTAGTAATGGATAAACTAAATCTGACATAGTTTATATGTTTGACTTTGCATGAAGTTTGAATCTATAAGACTGGTAATGAAATCCCAAACTATACCTATTATAGTTTGAATGGTTTGTTACGTTCGCATAAGGTTTTGAAACTATGCAATTATAAATTGAAAACACCCCTTATGCTCCGCATAATACAAAAGGGATAATTGTATCTAAACGTTTGATAGAAAATCGTTGTAATTGCATCAGTTTTTAAGTTATGAAAACCTTTATGTTTAGCTTGTATTCCCCCCCTGAAAACATGAAAAACTCAGAAAAGTGTAGGGGTATGAACTCACAGTTTAACGTAGGATTCGAGTGTTCAATTCGTTATGAGCGCCGAGTGTCAACCGATGTTTTGTACGCGTGTGGACCCTATTAACATATATTGCACATATATGTATTAGATTGGGTATCTCATGACAAATCATGATGGAAAACCACCCTAAAGACTTGGAATCACTAGAACTAAGTGTCCCATGTTCCATACTTAGTGATCTTTACAAGTTTAAGGCCAAATATGAGCATTAGAGTGGGTGTATGGCCATAAAAGTGGGTGTGCGGCCAGGGAGTGCAGCCAGACTTGTGTGTGCGGCTGCACACAGGAGTGTGCGGCCGTACAGGGGGTGTGTGCGGCCGTACACAGGAGTGTGCGTCCGTACACTCCTCATTTGTGCCCGAAATGTCGATTTTTGAGGTGTTTCAAGTTCCAAACTAAGTCTTAATTCGATTATAGAGGCCATACTCTCACTTTGGAGGGTATTTGAGTGTGTGCGGTCACCTTATGAAGGTGTGCGGCCGCACTCCTTCAATGGATGAAGAACACGAAGAACACTATGAGTTTTAGGCTTAGATTTAGGTCTCTTACCACTATAACAAGCTGAATGGTGAAGTAGTTCACGTTTTTGAGACCTTAAGAGTGTTCTTGGATGAAGTTTTTAGAGAGAGAAGTAGAGAGAGAGTAGTGTGCAACCAAAGAAGAAAAAGTGACTGAAAGGGGGTTCTCTACTATATATAGGGTCGGGTGTGTGGCTGGGGGAGTGTGTGCGGCTGGCTGGCCGCACACTCGGGTGTGCGGCCGCACACACCTTCCTTGGTGTGATTGGCTCGATTTTGTGATGCTACACACTTTCTAACCCTTCTTAAGACTCATATCTGTGTTATACTAAGCCTAAAGCACTCATATGGACCCAAAATTTCGCTAAGAGATGATAAGTTCGAGTGTAATATTGATATACGGATTAATTGTACAGGATTAAAAGTTTCAGGTTGTCACAATTGATGATGATGAATGTGAGAAAATGCATCAAGAGGGGTGTCACTAACCACTTTGTCCTAATATTCATCTGTCAGATGTACAACGTCCAGTGCTACATCAACATGGAAAAAAAATGTTGATATATTTCCTTCAATACTAATCAAACTTGGAAGAAACAAAGAAAAAGATCACATAATCAGGGATTTGAGTGATAGAATCGAGAAGTTAATCTGTTAAAACAAAACAGGGAAATGTTTTTGAGCCTTCAAATCCAGTTAAGCACTAACAGAAATCTGAAGATAAAATGAGATGGATAATATGAAGGTGAAGAAAGCAATCTGATTGCAAACAGCTTTTGCGTACTTTAAATCCTCTTCCCATGGACATTCACACCAAAAGTTCTGGAAATCTTCCTACGAACGAATTTAGTAACAGAACTAGCTAAGGAATTATAGGTTTCAAACTTCAAAATGCTCAAATACAAAGAGAAAGGTAAAAGTAAAATAAGAAACCAATAAGAGAGGAGATTTCTATTCATTTTAATCATATCATCCAGCACAAAAATCGATGTTAAACTCTTGAATTGGAGCAGATGTATCATCCGACAAGAGATGAGAAATTTGCAAAAACTTACAATTTGAATTTTTAGATAACCAACAAAATTAAGTTTATATTCGAAACCAGACATTGTGGGCATAAACCTGAATAATTTGATTCGTATATGCATTGTAAGGTAGAAAGCGGTGCAGGAGTGTCCGACTGCGTGGAGGAGGCGAAATGCGACACTGCTATCAACGCGACCAATAAGAAGAACCGTAATTTTGAGAGGGCGCTTGCTATTGGTCATTGAGCAAGACAAGTAACTGCTGTCCAAATCAGAAGTCGTGTCGTTAGAAATTTTGGGAACTGCTGTAGATGATAGAGAACGAGGTGTGTTGATGGATAAGATTGTTCTATCAGCTCGAGGGTAGCTTTGTCGATTTATTAACCGCTGGGGTTTGTGAAGCGAGTGTGAGACGAATGCCTTGAGGGGTAAAGAGTACAGCTTTGTGGTGGGGTGAAACAGAGCGGCCATTGTTGTTCTGAGCATCATTTCTTCGAGCTTTTGCGCCGTGTTGATGACCCTGTGCGTGAAAATAATAATTTAGAATGAACTTTTTACACTTTCACCCCTATACTTTAAATTTCCTGTCACTTTTATATCAAGACATAAAAAGTTAAACACTACTACTAGCCCAATAGAAAGCTCAGCATAATCATTGAAATATAAGTTAAACACCTCTTTAATTTGCAAAAATAGTACAACTTACTAGCATGTAATTTCATTTTCATATCATTCTTACACCAGACACCTATAATGCTAGGCTCGCAACGGCTCATCCCCATCGTTGGCATTATTCGCCTCCAACTCATCTCTGTCTCCGGCATTCTCAGCATTCTATTCTCGACATATATTTTTTTTCTTTTGGTTTCGAACAGAAAGAAAAAATTAACCGAGAATAAAAAGATTTTTAACCCTAGCTAACCGTACAAACATTCTCTCATCTTTTCTATCTTAATTAACGTGTGTGTGTGTGTATATATATACACACACACACACACACTAGTAGTGTACCCGCGCAAAGCGGCGGCGACAAATAGTTTTCGGGCGGTAATTAACTCATTTCGTTGAATGGTTTCCTTGTCGCAAAACAGTGAATAAAAATTTAATAATGAATCTTGTACATCAAATTGTCATGAATGAAATAACCATTAACCATAACAAATAAAAAATAGTAGTAAACAGAAGATCTATCCTCCGAACTACTATGCCATGAAACAAAAGGTTCACATGCATCAAATCAATCACTCGTATAGCTTTTGCTAATCATCCTTAAATTTGGCCTTCACTCATGCTTAACCATTATTAATTTTTGGTTTCCATATTAAATGTTTCAACAAAATTCTTATGTTTCTGACTAGAAATTTTCATGCTTAAGCAAGTTGTAATGTTTTTTTTTACAACAATGAAGCAAAGTTTAAGAAGGTTATAAATTATTATGATGTAACACCCGTTTATTTATTAGTTAAATAAATAAATTAATGAACGAATGGTAGCCCTAAAATAAATATCTATATATGCGTGGTGATGGTCTCGTGGAGCTAATCGTCACACTTTAAGAGATTGGGGTTTAAAAGTGAAAATATGGACTTAATAGGTAAGTATTAATGAAGTCAGGGACTAAATGGTAACTTCTGGGACTTCATTTGAAGAGATTTTGGGGCTAAGGGGCTGTTTGGTAAATTAGAAACCGAATTTGTGAAGAATTATGGAAGCAGGGGTTAAATTGGTAAATTCTGCACCTAAGTTGTAATAGATTTTTAATGTTGGGGTCTAAAAGGTAAGATTTGTATTTAATTGGAAAAGATTGGTGGGAAGGGACCGAAAGTGTTAATATGGAAAAGATTCATTATGTGCCGGGTATATATCCCTTGAGAACCCTAACCCTAGCGGGAGAATGAGTCGTCACCCCTCCTTCTCACGTTCTCCACAGCTCCACCAGCCCTCCTGCCGCCGGAGAAGTCGCGAATGGCTTAGATCGTCGTGGGTTGCCGGAAACTTAGATGCGAGGCTGCCATTGCTGTGCTCGGTGGGTTTCGCACCACCACTTCCCTTCTTGTTCCTTTCCAAGCGTCGCCGCCACCGATACCAGTCGAGTTAAACCTCGTTCGCAGGCCATCTCACTGAAGCGCCGCCATTGTACTCCTTGGTTGCCGTCGCTACCCGTCCCCGTCGAAGAAAAGACGTCGCCGGACGCTTGGCGTTTGTTGCTGCTGTGATCCAGCGACCGCCGCCGGTTATTAGGGTGCCATTTCCGCCGTTCGTTACGCCACTTGGTGGGTAGTGGCTTTTGGACCTTGTGCGCTGTGATAGCTTGTTGGCTGGTAACCGCGAAGAACAACCATAGCCGCCAACCATGGTGGCTGCCGCCTTATCACTTCGTTTGCTGCCACCGGCCACCGTGAGGAGGGTGGCTGTGTGTGCGTTATGGGTGTGTTCGGGTGTGCTAGCTGTGTTTGGTGTTCGTGGGGTTGTATGTATGCAGTGGTCGGATGTTGTAAGGGAGATGCTAGGCCGAAAAGTGAGGAAGACCGCCACTGCCACCACCGTGAGGTGGTGGCTGCCGCCGTGTACCACCATGGGTGGGTGTATTTTCGTGTGTATGTGTTTGTAATTAGATTAGGGCCGCCGTGTCGGGTGGCGGTGTGCTTAGTTGTGTTGGGATTGCTAGTTTGGGGATGTTTGGCTAAGGGACTAACACCCTAATGGGCCTTGAAACCCTAGTGGGCCCAATGAGGCTTAATGGACATAAAAGCCCAAACATGTGTCTAATGGGTTTAATGGACCCTAATGGATCCAAGGACTTAACTAATGGGCCTATTGGGCTAAGATGGGTTGGAAACCCTAATTAGGGTTTAGAAAACCCTAATATTGGATTTATGGGCTTGGACTTATTGAGACCCACTTGTGGGCCATTGGAATAATGGAATTGTGTGATTAAGCCCAATCACACCATATGACTTATTTAGAAGAATGATGGACTTAATGGATTAAGTCCTTAATGGATTAAGTCCTTAATGGGTTAAGTGAGAAACACTTAACCCTAATCGTCATTTTATGTGAAACCCTAATTTCACATGGGTGTATTGTTGGGCCTTCTATTGGGCCTTGATGATTGCGTTATTAATGGGCCATCCAAAGTCAAGCAAATGGACTAGAATACTTAATGGGCCTAGGGTAAGGCCCATATAAGCGGTTTGGGCCCAATTTGGAAAATTGGGCCATAGTTTGGGCCTTAATGATTATATGATGTTGGGCCTTAGAATAAGACCATGTATAGGCCTGGGCCCAATTTGGAAAATTGGGCCATGTGTTGGGCTTGATTCCTAATTGACTTTGGGCCTATGGATTGGGCCTTGGGCTTGAATGAGCCAAGCTTGGGGGTAATGTAGTAATTATCCAAAGAATGTACTATTGGTTATTTGTTGGGACCCAATTATTAATTGGGTGATGTTTTGATATTGACAGATCGGGAATCTGTCATCCAGCAGCTGGGATCGAGTCTGCGGGACTTCAACAGTGTGGGGTTGAGTCTACGGGACTTTAGCAGTGTGAGGTGAGTTACCTTCCAGTAGGAGTGGGTCTACGGCCACAATGCCGACCCACTAGTAGGAGTTATTTGTTAGATGATTGTCTTTGTGATAATTATCTGGTGTGTTGGTATCTGATATGATTTATGTGCTAGGATGCTATGACATATGTGTTAGTAGCTGTAGGGGTGATATAGCCCATAGTTACCGGTTGAAAGATACCGAAGGGGCAGACAGAACCCATGTATGATATGTTATTAAGTGACCAGTATGGTTATGATATGCCATTATGTGATTCAGTATGTTTATGTTATGTTATCATGGAACCAATATGGTTATGACATGTTATTATATGATAGTGGTGGGGGTGAAATAGTCCCCGGTTACCGGTTGAAAGATACCGATGGCGGATACCGGTTGAAAGATACCGAAGGCGGATACCGGTTGAAAGATACCGAAGGGGTATACAGAACCCATGCAAGGCTTATCTGTTTGTTTATGATATGTTGGTATGTGATCATTATGTTATGATGTTAGTATTTGATCGATATGTTATGATGTTAGTATGTGATCAGTATGCTATGATATTAGTATGTGACCAGTATGTTTATGATATATTATTATGTGATGGTGGTGGGGGTGATATAGTCCCCGGTTACCGGTTGAAAGATACCGATGGCGGATACCGGTTAAAAGATACCGATGGTATTATGTGGTATGTGGTATGATGGGGGAACTCACTAAGCTTCGTGCTTACGGTTTACAGTTTTGGTTTCAGGTGCTTTGTTTGCAAAGGAAAGGAGCCGGCTTGATCGCAGCGCATCACACTATGTTTTCCGCACACGAGATCCTTGGGATTATACTCTGATATGATTTCATAATATTATATTTTGATTATTCACACTTTGGTTTTATGTAATAAACTAATTCAAAATGAAATTTTTGGCCTTGAATTTTGGGATGTTACAAGTTGGTATCAGAGCCTTGGTTTGAGGGATTCAGACATACTCTCGGGTGTGTCTGAACTCAAACTAAGGGCTTGGTATGAAAATTTTCAAAAGTAAAACCATTTTATAAAAAGGAGTTTGAAAAGAATCTGAAAAGAGAAAAGAACTTTGAGAAGAACAAAGTGTGTGATGCGTGCAATCAGCCGAGCTCAAGTAAGTTTTCCCCAAGATACTCATACATGTTATGTTATGGTATGATATGATAATGAGAATTGCATGCTAGACTAGGGCTAAGGATGTAGGAAGATGCCTTATGTGCCTGCTGTATGTGCTTGCTGAATTACATGATAGTACTGATCAGTTAGTGATAGGATAGCCTATTTAGGTTTTGCCTGATTGTGTGAGCCTCAGAATCGCATGCTAGTATAGATCCCTAACAAGAGGATAGACTAATCTGATTGGAATATGTTGGTGAGATTTTTCCATTGTCTGAATGCTGCTTGCTTGGTGCTTTGAGGGACTCTTAGTAATGTGAGCTAGCTACTAAGTGAATATGCTAAGTCGCGAATGGTTATATTCATGAGGTAGCTAGTTGACGTCAGTGGGAAGTTCTTTAGCAGCTGAGGACTGGGTGAGTACGGGAACCTAGGAAAGCCTAGGATATGCTCAGTGGGTTAGTAGTGAGGTTCAGTGAGACTTGGGTGTACCAGTTGAGAAAGTGACTTGGAGGATTCAGGAGGATTGGTGAGGAAAGTATGGATAGGTGTGGAAGGTAGTATTGGGCCCGTACTACTGAAAGCACAGGATCCATACTCGAATCAGTGAGAGTCTTGGAGAATCTGAGAAGCTTCAAAGAAGAGTTAGTGACCCGGTTTGGGGACAGAGGATGTTCCAGTGTTACAGCTTGGCCATTGGCAAGTAAGCTAGCGAGCGTGACAGGGTGTCAGACCCTGAAGGGTATGACTTCCAAGAGTTTATAGATACGAGATCGATTTGGAGCACTTCGAGAAAAGGTTCGTGCTAAGTGCGTATAGTAGAGGGTCCCGGGAAGAGACCCATGACTTCTGATCATCGGGTGAAAGGCCAGCAGGGCCCGAGTCAGTGCAGCGCGTACGAGAAAGTACATGAGGGAGTTTGTCACTCCAAGGGTTTAGGCTGCTACAGGGTAGCAGGATTGGTCATGTCAGCAGAAGGGGGTCAGTATTCCTCCAGATGTTGCGGGTATGTCATCTTCTATGATATTAGGTGGATGTTTGGAATACGTACCGCTTTGGAATTGTGAGTGAGTTTGGATAAGTCAGACGTCGGGTCGGTTTTCTGCTAGTGTTTGGGTTACCAAGGATCATATATGCCATCCTGCATGCCGAAAGGTCCTTGATGAACCCAGAGAGGGACACATCTTGCGGAGTGGGTTCCGGGCATACCGTTATCATTTCGGATCTTTGTCGGGATCTATGCAGGAGTATTATTTAGAGGATACTCGATCAGGGTTGGAGTGATTGTTCTCCAATGAAGTCAGCGTTCAGAGGTTCTATCATTGTTCAGGTATGGTCGGTAATTGTTTATGGGTGAACTTTGGAGTTCAAGGCACTACCGTTGCTAGGACAGAACTGGTGACAGGAAGAGGGTAGTGTCAGTCGCGGGTGTTAGATGCATAAGTGGTTGGTCACTGGATGTTCAAGAGAATTGTGTTTTCGCATGGGCTGTATTCGGCTAGAGTTCAGTGGTACTGCAAGATTGGGAGTGGGAACGAGGATTCGTCAGCTAGAGTGAAGATTAAGGTCTTCAATTGATAGCATGTTAGATGGATTGAGGTGTCAGAATGGATCAGATTTCAAGAGTACTCATCGAGACTTCCGAGGATGGGAGATCTCAAGGTTTAATTGGCGATTAAACATAAGCATTGGCAGGCATAGGTTGTCATCAGTGGGATATTAGAAAGCGAGAAGGATTGGGAATCCTTCAATTCTCATGTAATGTGAAGACTTAGTCGAATCTAAGTGGGGGAGAGACTTTTTATAAAGTTCTCCAACTGTGAGTTCTGGTTACGCGAGGTGCAATCTCTTGGGCACCTTGTCAACCAGAAGGGCATTCTCGTTGATCCGGTCAAGATAGAGGCAGTGATGCAGTGGGATTCCGAGGTCTCCAACCGAGATTCGGAGTTTCCTGGGTCTAGCGAGTTATAATCGGAGGTTTTTACGGGACTTCTCCGAGATTGTGGGTCCTTTGACCCGAATGACCAAGAAGTCGACAGCCTTTCGTTGAGGGCCTGGGCAGCAGGCAGCCTTAGAGACTCTCAGACAGCGGTTGTGCGAGGCACTTATTCTCACCATGCCAGAGGGTGTAGATGATTTTGTGGGTTTTGTGACGCTTTGATCATAGGCATGGGTGCGATACTGATACAGTGGGGTCACGTGATAGCAGGTTTGGGAACCAGGTTAGAGTTCCGGTTAGGACTCAAGCTCAGTTGTGTGTTGGGTCGAGTGCGTGTTCGACCAGTATGGAAAGTGTTGTAAGACTACGGGGGTATCCGTAGCATTCACTGACAGTCAGATAGTATGGAAAGTGTTGTAAGACTACGGGGGTAGCCGTAGCATTCACTAGTGGTCAGTTAGCATGGGAAGTGTTGTAAGGCTGCGGGTGTAGCCGTAGCATTCACTAGCAGCCAGATAGTGATGGAGTGTTGTAAGTCTGCGGGTGTAGCCGTAGCATTCACTAGGTTGGTAGATAGCATCAGTGCGTTGTTAGGACGCAGAAGGAACAGTAGTACGCATAAGTTCGGGTTCAACATTGAGGATATGGAAATCCACGGATTGGATTTCGGATTTACCCAAAAGGATTAGATCAGATTGAGCCAGTGATACGATTGTAGGAGTGCCAC